AATCTATGAACCTGAAGGCCTTTTAGAAACAAGGAAATGTCTCCAGCAGAAAAGAAAGAAGTTTAATAGATCAGTGTGTGGGAGGAGATTGGATTCAAAGGCACCAGGAAAACCTTGGGCCGGCCACCACACTGCAAATGTGGAAACAGGGAATTTAACCACTGTAGGTAGTGACTGACATCACGAGTCAGAGAGAATGGTTGCAATTATCAAGCATCAAGCATGTTCCTGGTCCAGTTTAGATTTCCACAGTGAACACCGGGAATAGGGGTCCCCACATACGGGAGCAGACTTTGTGTCCACATCAGCCTCTTCACAGGACCCTGTTAAAAACATCTTTGGTTGGTGCATCAGTGAGGATGTAATGATGAGCTTAAGAGCTTCCTTCCCTCTGCCCTGCCTTGGACTGGAAAGTTGCTTGTTAGATGTATGGAAGCTTCTCTAATTCTGAGGCCATAGATCTAGAATTCCAAAGACAAAGAAATATATATATCCTGTTTGATGAAATGTAAGTTCATGTTTTTGTCCATTTTCTAATAGAATTGTTTGGTTTTGAGTTTTGAGAGTTCCTTATCTATTCTATATACAAGCCCTTTATTGAACATGTGATTTGTCCATAAACATTCTCTAATATTTTGAATCTGTGAAAGCTTTAAAATTAAAATTCAGTGCTTGCTGGAGTTTAAAGGATTAAATGAAGGTTTCAAGAATTCAAACTTTTACTGTGTGCTTTATTAAAGAAGCAGCAAGAAAGCCTGGGCCCTGCTTTCACAGAGGAAGAAACTAGAGACAGATACAGGACCGGGGATATTGGAGAGCAGGATTGTGAGGTGTGGGCATCTGGCCTGAGCAAGCTCCTGGGAGGCGGGCTCTGACTGGCCCAGCTCACGTGCCACCTAGTGGGCTCTGTAAACGCGTCCTGTGAAGTGCACGTTCACATTTGCCAAACACACATATTCTCACCCAAGCTTCTCTAGAGGAATTAGCGACGCATGATATTTATTTCTCCCCACTGTGACGCCCATCACACATGGCTGATTCTAAGCGGAAACATAGTGCAGGTAGCACTCTCTGCTTCATGCTTTGGGGCTGGTGAACCACCAGAAGGATGCAAGACGGCTGAGACCCATGTTAACGCAATGGACTCTCGTAATAGCTCTTCACCAAGGAGCCTCAAGAGTTTCCTCTTGAGTCTGCTGTATCGCTCACCCTCGGGGGTGATGCTGCACAGGTGGAGATGATCTGCCTTGAGGCAGTGGGTCGGGCAGGTGGCCCAGCAGCCTATCTCTGACCCTGCTTTCAGGACGGAGCTGAGATGGCCACTTCTCCTGGGTATTGTCACCAGTGTGTGCTACCCAAGCGTGTGCCGGGAAAGGCGGACCTCATCCCCTGTCCCATTTTAGACAATCAGAGAACGTTAGAACCAGAGAGAAACAAGGAAAATGGTGACTGCAATTTTTTTCAATGGAAAATAAAGATTTTTCTCTGACACGTGTTTAACCAATAGAGCAAAACACCTGAAATGAGGACCAACATCATTTTCAGATCATCTAGTCCAGGATGCTTTCTTACTTTGCAACCCAAATACATAGGGAACATGAATGCGGTGGGTGGCAGGGGTGGGGTAGGACGAGAGGAGGACCCCACAGGTTCCTCAGCCCATCCCCACCAGGCCCCCAGGGTGGCTCCTAAGACTTCCTAGGACTTCAGATCACAAGTCAAACAACACTGAGATGCCCTTCTTTTTACTTTTTTTTTTTTTTTAATTTGGTAAGTACCTTGTCTTGTGTTGTTTTTTTTTTTAATTTGGTAAGTACCTTGTCTCTTTTTTTTGAACATCTTTATTGTAGTATAATTGCTTTACAATGAGATGCCCTTCTTTTTAAAGGCCGAAGAGTACTTTATTGTATGCATATGCCACATTATCACAAAAGGACAAATACTGCATTGTTCCACTTCCATGAGGCATCTAAAATAAACTCAGAAACAGTAGAAGGTGTCGCCAGGGGCTGAGGGAAGGAGAACTGGGTAGTTTCATTTCCACCAAATGAGTAAGTTCTGGAGATCGGCCACCTGTAGGTAACAGCACCATATCGTGCGCATAAAAATCTGCTAAGACGGGGCTTCCCTGGTGGCGCAGTGGTTGAGAGTCTGCCTGCTGATGCAGGGGACGCAGGTTCGTGCCCCGGTCCGGGAGGATCCCACGTGCCGTGGAGCAGCTGGGCCCGTGAGCCATGGCCGCTGAGCCTGCGCGTCCAGAGCCTGTGCCCCACAACGGGAGAGGCCGCAACAGTGAGAGGCCCATGTACAAAAAATCTGCTAAGACGGTAGATCTCGTGTTGTGTCCTTACCACAATAGAAGAAGTAAAATAAAACAAGCAGACTAAACTGTTGCATTGGTTAGGAGTGTTCTTAAAGGACAGCTAATCTATTGAGGAGAAGATGTCATATCACCTTGGCATTGAATCACCAGATGAACAAAGTTCACTTATCTGATATGAAAAAACATATTATGTTTTACATGTTAGGAGGGAAATAATCCACCGAGAAACCCACTACCATGTTGTACAAGTGGAAAAAAAAGTCCAGAAACTGAGGACCTGCTGGAAGACACCCAGTTAATGCAGAACCAGGACTGGAAGCCAAGTTACTTACCTGGTTCCTCATGAAATCCTCATTCTAAATACTTGGGAAGTCTCAACACCTGTTTCCGTGAACTCCTCACACCAGAGGTCAAGGGTTCTTTAATGGGGAATGAAACAAGCATTGTCACCTCGCCCTGCCTTGGCAAGTTAAAAGCTGACATCACAAAAGAAGAAGTCTCAGTGTACAGGAAAGTGCCCGTGGGTCTTTATCTGAGGACCTCAGAAATGCAGCCTGGCTGCTCCGTGCCCACCCTCCCAGGGACAGAAAGAGGACCAGCCAGAAACATTCCCTCTGCTTTGTCTTTCCTTTGCTGAGGCTGTGGAGAAAAGCCTGAGAAGGCTGCACGTCTGCCTGTTTCTCACCCTTGCTGGACGGCAGCAGAGAGGCTGAGGCCCCTGAGGGCAAATGAGGGCTCTAGGGAATGGCTCAGAGAGAGATTCTGAGGGTGCAGGAGAGAACTGTCTACCCAGAGGGAGCAGGGGCACAAAGGAGGGCAGCTTGAGCTGGGGGCTTGGGGCCACCAGGCAACAGCCCCAGAGCCCTGGTTCCCAGAAACGGAGAGAGGACAGTTAGGAAAGGGAAGGACACTGTTAAGGGATGACTGAGGTCTAGTCCTTCCCCTGTGCTGACAGCTATGCCTGGGAGAGCAAAGTTATATTTTAGGGAGGAAATCAGATCTCCACCTTCTGGCCGTTTGCCTAGAGCCCAGAGAAATAATACCAGACAATTGCATTTGAGTAGATTTTTGCAAACTCTGCCAAACTGACAGATATGAATTTCACTTCTTCAGGATTGCCCTTTCTAACCCAATCAAGGCAAGATGCTGAGTCATGGCAGAACCCAAGCCACAGCAGACACAGGAAAGAGCACAGGAGGCGTGGACCTAGACCATACAGAAGCCCTGTAAATCATTGGCAAAAGAGTTATTCAACTCCCACAGCCTCTGATCTCCCGGCGAGAAGAGGGCTTTAAACCCCTTGTCATCACAATGTTTGGCATCAACTAGATTTTACCCAGACTCTCGAGGCACCGATGTTAATGAAGACAATAGCTCCTAAAACAGGTTGTCCACAAAACCCGAGTGTTTTCACTCAATAAAACTCTCCCCAGAGACATAGAAAACAAACTGATGGGTACCAAAGGGGAAAGGGAGGGGGAGGGATAAATGAGTTTAACAGATGCACACTACTATATGTAAAAAAGATAAACAACAGGGACCTACTGTCTAGCACAGGGAACTATACTCAGCACCTTGTAATCATCTATAATGGAAAATAATCTAAAAAGGAATAGATATATACGTATGTATAACTGAATCGCTTTGCTGTACACCTGAAACTAACACAACATTGTAAATCAGCTATTTCTTGATAAAACTTAAAAAACAAAACAAAACTTTCTCACTCAGGTTAAGTCCAAAGTGAATGTTGCTGATCTTGAGTGACTCTCCAAGTAATAAGGTAGGAACCAAGACCCCTTCCATTCTGTGTCACCTCCACTTCCCCCCGCCCATGGTTTCCAAGGTCACCCAGGAAGGTGAAGGAGCCTGGAGGTTGCCCAGAGACACTTGTAGGGGCCAGGACTGGAAGTGGTGCCCATCAATTTCACTCACCCACTATTGGCTAGAATTCAATCAGATGACCAGACCTAACTGCAAGGGGTGCTGGGAACTGTGGTCCAACTGTCCAGGAAGATGGGAAAATACACAGATCTCAGCACCAGAGCCACAGGTGTATCTTGACATGATTTTCCCTAATAAGAAATTTTTCTGAGACCACTAGAGATATCTTGTCCTTCTGTGCAGGAAAATGGATAAAAGTGTACTTCCTTAAAGCCCTCCGAGACCTGCCTGTGATGCTATATGAAATGCTTAATTTTTGAGACTAGAGGCATCCAGCAATAAACTCACCATTTTAATTGTATAATATTTTAGAACTTCCAAAATGATTTCTCAAATACTCTTTCATTTGATTTTCTCATTGCTCTTCTCCCAGTGTCTACACATTTCATTTGGACAAGAATTACTGACTGATTGCCCATTCTCCCAGGCTCTGGTCCGGGAACCAGGGATGCTGAACAGGCGGTAGATTTCCTACTTGCACCATGCTTGCATCCTTGTGAGGAACAGTGGCTTGTAGTTATAAGTAAAAAGTAAATTAACACATACAAGATACTATCAGATGATGGTAAGACCCCAAAGAGCAACAACAGGGCAGTGTGATAGAGGGGGAGCTTGCATGGGGGAACGGGCCTTTTAAAATATCCCTGGGATTTGTTTAATCGGGTATGATGGGATGACAGGCAGGTAAGGTGGCAGGCAACTGACTTCCCTGAAAGAAGCCTTTATTACTCACTGTTCCCAAGAGGAGAGGGCAGTCACGCTGTGCAAGGCCACGTGTGGAAGCACCAGATTCGGCAAGTCGCAGAAGGAGCAAGGAGAAAACACAGGCGGGAGCCTTTCTTGCGGTCTCACTGCAAGGAAGGGGCAGGGTAGACAAGCTGAGCAAGCGTAGGACTGGCTGGTGTGAATAAGTTCAGTGGTCTCTAGGCTACAGGGGCCCCTGGTCAACCAGTACCTGGCCCTGGGGGGATTTGGGAGAGGGGAGTATCGGCTTGGTGTGTGAGAGTTAGATTAAGGCGGTACTTGAGGTTGTGGGTTCTGGTTTGGACATGAAACACATGCTCAAAAGCAAGTGTTTTACTTTCTTTAGGAATTAACTGGCCCTGGGACGGGGAGACTCTCCAGGACCAGAAAGGCCCCAAGATGTCAAAGCATCTTAAAATACAGGAAATAGGGCTTCCCTGGTGGCGCAGTGGTTGAGAGTCCGCCTGCCGACGCAGGGGACACGGGTTCGTGCCCCGGTCCGGGAAGATCCCACATGCCGCGGAGCGGCTGGGCCCGTGAGCCATGGCCGCTGAGCCTGCACATCCGGAGCCTGTGCTCCGCAACGGGAGAGGCCACAGTAGTGAGAGGCCCACGTAATGCAAAAAAAAAAAAAAAAATCAGATATTTACAATTCTCGAGGAAATTCTGTCTTCAAGGCAAAGAAAATGATATCCCACATCTTACTAGATGGAGCTTTTGTAGCCATTCTTAAGGGAGAACAACTTAGGAAATTGTACGTGTGGTCAGGTTTAGTACATTCTGAATTTTTGTCCAGTTCAAAAGGAAAACTGAAGTTTGCCTTTTAAGAAGCTTTGTAAATCAATAAGCAGAAAGAATCAAACAACACCTCAGCAGCAACACAGCTCAGCACAAGTATTACAAACATTGTCTTTTAATAGTTAGTTTTTTAAATGACTAAACAGAAGAAATACTATATCCTTTGTCCTTTTTATCTATAAACTTGGTCCTGCTGGGCTTCCCTGGTGGCACAGTGGTTGAGAGTCTGCCTGCTAATGCAGGGGACACGGGTTCGAGCCCTGGTCTGGGAGGATCCCACATGCCGCGGAGCAACTAGGCCCGTGAGCCACAACTACTGAGCCTGCGCGTCTGGAGCCTGTGCTCCACAGCGAGAGAGGCCGCAGCAGTGAGAGGCCCGCGCACCGCGATGAAGAGTGGCCCCCACTTGCCACAACTAGAGAAAGCCCTCGCACAGAAACGAAGACACAACACAGCAAAAATAAATAAATTAATTAATAAACTCCTACCCCCAACAACTTCTAAAAAAAAAAAAACAAAAAACTTGGTCCTGCTAATTTAAAAAGAAAAATTGTTAAGTAGCCAATAGTATATTTCCTAATTTTGATTCGTGTTTGTCTGGATCTCACACAAAGTAGTTATTTTCCAGTTTCTAGAAGAGGCACCTCGTGATTATCATTCTTAAAAATACAGCCAGATGTTCATCTTAGAGGAGATTTCCATGACTAGAGGTTACAATGCTGTATTTTAATTGCCAGTCAGTATCTCGTCTCCACTTATCTTTGTATGTCCTTAAGGCCAGGGACATTCTCCAATCTCTGGCATCTCCAATCTCATTAGAGATTGGACATTCTCCAATCTCTGGTGCCGAGCACACTGTCTGGTGCTTAATAGATGCTCAAATCTGTCAAACGCATGGACGCCACCTGTCTGTCCTGCACCCAGTGCTAAGCAGATGCCTGGCACATCATTAAGAGATGCGGGGGCGGGGGGGTGAATCTAAATCTCTAAAGATTTCCAAAAGGATTTATTTTCTGGCTCTTCTGTCTAGAAAATTAATTTCGGTTCAAAGTGACACGCTGGACAGAACGAAGACAAAAATGCGTGATTGAGCCATTCCTGAGCAGCGATCATTACCACTGCTACACGATGGAACGACCAACGCTTCCCGATGAGTAGTTCCTCAGGTAACATTGTAATAATGCTGAAAACTCCTTTCATCGTGAATCATTTAGAGCACCTGCTACATGAAACCATGTCCAAGTCACATGGGGCTTCAACAGAGCTGTCCTCTGCATACAGTCATCACCCATTTCTAAGTTGTTTGCTTTTATTCTCTATACGGAGGGGGGGCGGCGGGTGCCCCTTTTTAAGAAATCTTTTTTCCTTAAAATGATTGAGACTTTCAAAAACTCGTTCCTTAATCACATCATCTTTCTTAGTGAAAACAGAAATTCTTCATCTTACACTTCCTCCATACAGCCTCCCTCCGACTCTGAGACCAGGGAAGAACGAAGCAGGAAGACGAGTCATATTTTCATTACGTTTTCCATGGAAATCCCACCTCGGACCATCGGTCGGTGATCTGAAAGCAGGAATAATAACACCTGTCTCATGGGCGTCCTGCTTCTTCTGCATCCCCACAACTCCAGGGTTTAGGAAGATTTGACCTGATTTTCAAGGTTTGGAGGTTGTACTTTTATCTTCTTGGAGCAACTGAAGAGTGGTTAAATGATGAAAGTTTCCTTTGAGGGTCCTTTCCTGAAAATAAACTATTTATATCTACAATCTTCCTCATCTTGGGAGCAAAAAATAAGCTCACACAGGGCTCCTCCGAGCATATTACTACGCTATGGCAGAAGCTTCCGGAACAATACTTCTTTTCCTATTCCAAGTCTGATCCACTAACCTAAGCAACCTCTTTAATGATTTTTTCTGTATTTGTAATCCATGTTCCTGGAACATTAAAGCCATGAATGTTCTTTTGTAAGTGAAAACCGCCTTAGATCGTCACAGACATACATGGAATGGGAACAGTCCACATGTCCAACTACAGACTTGACCAAAGACCAGAGGTCTCCGGACCTCTCAGCCGGCTGTCAGTGATGCTGAGACCTACTCCTGCAGCATCCTTCCCTCTGTGCCTTGTTGCCATGTGCCCACAGAACTTAAATGCTGCCCTAGGAAAGTGAGGAAGGAAGAACCCTAAATTCATATGAAATGTCTATCACCCTGATGGAATGGTGCCTCAAATTAGACATGAAATTTTGGAACATAAGTTACATTTTTTAGGCACCCGATTTGTAAGTCAAAATTTGAGCCCAGAATATGGGAAGGCTTATCTAGAATCTCCAGGAATACGCAGACAGTCATGAATTGATAAAAAGTCCTACAAATAGAGCCAAGTGCCCTGGAAGCAGTGGCTGTAACCCAGGGTGGAATAATCAGATTCAGACGTCATGGCCAGCTTGCAAAATCACAGACAACGATGAAGCTGTGACTGAAGAACTGCAACAAAATTCTGTAAGATTGGTCATCCCGAAACAGAGGGAAAGGGAAAGAATGCAGGCTTGTTGTACTTTCTTGTAGATTCGATTTTCTGGACAGCAGAAGAACACCTGAAAAGCGAAGAATGAGGCTTACACCTGCTGATTCGGACTAAGGGGTCCTCTAAGTATCGAACCTCTTTCTGTAGAGAGAAATGGCTCCAGCACCACCAGATCCAGCCACTGAAATGCCATTTTCCCGCCAAATGATATGCCCCTTGATCGGCCATGAACATTGAAGGCTTAGGGGATGTGTGGAGAGGTCTTGCTTGGAGAAGGCCGTACTCCAACGCAGTTAGGAAGAGTACAGAGGATTTCTAGGAGCTGTTGGTGTAGGATGGCCTAACTCTCCTGTGGTCTGGAGTGGGCCAGAAGCAGCAGGAGACCCTGGCTCTGGAGGGGCATTGAGGGTGACACTGGGGCATGACTCTTCACCTGTCTTCCTGGATTGATGACACAGGACCCCAAATCTAATCAGTGCTTGCCCTCAGAAATTGGACATCATCCCAGAGAAACAGAAAAGGGGAAACCACAAATTACTGTGACTGGTAGAATGAGGGCCTGAATACAAATTAAGTCCAGACGTTTAAAAATCTGTGGTCTGAGACTCTCATTTACTATAGAAGTCTATGATTTTAAACCACAAATTATACTTCACAGTGTAAGTACAATCTAGTTCCCTGTGCACAACTATGTTGGTTGCCAGTGGTAGCAACAAGCAACAGTGTTACCTTCAGGTATAATGACCTGAAGAACAGATTCCTTCCCCAGGAATGCCCTCACTCCCCAGGCAGGCTTTGTCATGTGTCTTGCCTTAATTCTGGCCTCTGAGTCTTCTGACAGGTTAGCAGGGATTCTTGAACTTTTATTGCTCTGTCTCCTAGCTGGCATTGTTATCTGACCTCCTACACTCTGGAATCAGAGTTCCTGGGTCCACAAGGCCTTGGCTGAAACTCTTTGAATTTGATCTTTGGACATTTTGACTTAGAGCACTACCAGCCCAACCTCAGGCCCATCCCTCAACCCAGACCTGACCCACTGTGTCCTCTGTCTCTGGAGGACACAGAGAAGACCCTTCTGAACTGAGACAGCACCCCATCCCCTCAAAGAGCTATGTAAAGAAGAGCAGGTGAAAGGGCAATTAGACCTGAAGAAGAGAAGTTAAAACTGGAGTATGAGGTAGGATTTCTACATTTCCCATCAAACTAGATGAACATATCATGATTGCTAAGGCACCAACTCACATATTTATTCAGAGCTGGCCACAGAAATTATTTTCTGTTTCAAAGCAATGGAAAGAGTTGAGATGAATAATACATCTTTATCTATGCCAATATTTAAGACAACCAAGCAGCACTGTGCTGTTTGTTCAAACCAGTCTGGGTTTTACATTGTGCATGCAAATCTACATTGTGCATGAGTGTTTCAGTAGCAATTTCTTTTGAAATGTGAAATTGTTTATGATGCTGACAAAAATTCAAAACAATCTACCATCTATAGATGCCCCACTGTCATGGATTTTTAAACACATTTATTATCACAGAGTCACCGCAGAGAAGAGAGACCACAAATGGAGCACAAGTGTGCTTCCTTCATGAAATTTCCCAAGGATATTCCTTTTGCACAGATTGAGAGTCTGTGAGCAGTTCTGATTCCCACGAGAGACCCACGTTCAGACGCAGAAGAGAGAGACTCTGCAGCTCAATGCTACATAGGCGTTTGCTTCACCTCTGTTTGCTTCAAAGGTTTCCAGGACAACAGTTCAAATGAAAAGGAAACATATCAGTAGCTTGAACATAGATCTACGATTCTAAGCCATGAATTCCAATGGTGTTTCCAAATCACTACCCAGAATCAGAAAACAAACTGTTACGTGTTATATGTTATGTCTGCATGTCCCAGTGAGATCTATTCTTGCCAGTTATTGGGAGAAAATTCTATGGGGATTCAGAGTCTCGCCAATTTGCCCCAGTAGTGAAGTTTTATACATCCAGTGGTCCGGGGCAAGTCAAAATGCCCCTCCACCGTCAAGACAGGTTGTTGCAACTTGTATCACCTGCCACCAAAAAAAAAAAAAAAAAAAGGCATAGTGACCTTTTCTGCAGCCTTTCAATTAAACTGGTAATAGGCTAGAACAAGATTCTGAAGTCTGACATATGCTATTTCCAAAATCCAGGTTCAGGTGTGTACCAGGGCAGAAGAGAGTTCTGCAGCAAATCCAGTGACCCGCCCAGGTAGGCCACATGCCCGGCAGATCCAGGTGCCAGGGTTCCAGGAGTAGATAAGTCTCAAGCAAACCCCAGCGGGAGAGTTCCGGAATAAACCTCTGCCTTCTGCTGCATGGAGCTTCCTGACTTGGAAAGCAGTGCCCGGATTGTAGCAGAGATTAAGTCCTTGACCGTTAGTGGGGAGCCTTGGAGTGAGTATTGCCCATCACATGATCCCACATGGGGCCAGAGTGTGCGAGTCTTTCCAGCCTGCCTCACTCGGCATGCCAGCTGCCCCAGGAAAGGTGACATGAGATAGCTCTCTGCAGCCCCGAGAGCGGGGCAGCAGGCTCTTTTTTTTGAAGGGGGATCTGGGTGAGAATCTCCACATCTAGGATTCTCCTCTTAATGAACTGATTCCTTTACCACTGTGAAACATCTTTATCTTTGATAATATGCCTTATTTCTCCCATAGTCTAATTTGTTGGATATTAACATACCCATTGCAGCTGTAGGAGTCCGCTTGGGCTGCCACAACAAAAGAACCCAGGCTGGGTGGCTTAAAAACAGAAACTTATTTTATCACAGTTCCAGAGGCTGGAAGTCCAAGATCACGGTGCCAGCTGGGTTGGATTCTGGTGAAAACTCTCTCCTTGGCTGCAGACGGCCATCATCCTGCTGTGTCCTCAATGGCCTTTCCTCTGGGCACAGGTGCAAAGTGGGAGAGGGACCTCTTGTGTCTCTTCCTCTTCTTATAAGGACACTAGTCCTATAGGATTCAGGCCCCATCCTTTTGACCTCATTTAACCTTAATTACCTCCGTAAAGGCCTCATGTCCAAATGTAGTCACGTTGCGGGTTAGAACTTCAGCATACGAATTGGGGGGAACCCCATTCGGTCCATGACACCAGCTTTCTTTCTAAGATTAAAGTTTGCATGATAAGCCTCTTTGTCCTTCTCCTTTTAACTCATCTTTTGTTCATGTTTCAAATGCATCTCTTGTAAATAACATTTATATGATCTTGCTGCTTTTCTTTGTGTATCATTGCTGCCTTTTAGCTGGATTGCTTAGTACATTTCTATTTAAGATAAGTATTGATACAGTTGGGATAAGTCTACCACACTGCGATGTGTTTTTTATTAGCCTTATCTGTTGTTTCCTTTTTTCCACATTCCTTTCTTCTGTTAGATTTTCTTGATTAACTGAGTTTTTAGTACTCCTAAATCCATGTTAACACCTTTATTAATTGTTTTTTAACTTCTTCAGAGATTTCCCAACTTGACACAAGGGGGCCAGGCCTTTATACCCCCATACCAATCCCCCAGGAAAAGGGTGTGACCTGGAGCAAGCTGCCTCCACAGCACAGGCAGATCCTGAAGGGAGATGACGACTAGGTTGCCTGCCACAGCAATGGCAGCAGCAGGGGAAGCAGGGCCCTTATTCCTACCAGGTGATCTGTGTAGCTGTGCTCACCACGGAGTGTACGCTGAACATTACAAATGCAGCCTTGTTTACTGTATGGATTTTGTTGTCTTTCTTTCAAGAATATTGAGGTTTGTTTCACCAGGCAATTAACTTACTTGCAAATCACCCTAGTCCTTTGGAAGCTTATTTTAAAATTTCATTATGACGGGTCTATAGCAGTGGTTATCAACTGGGGGCAACTTTTTGATTGTCATACCTGTGGGCTGCTACTGGCATTTAGTGGGTATAGCATGCTGGTTAAGGTCGTGATCTAATGGAGGGGCCATAACGTTGATTGACTTGAGTTGATTTAAAGACATGTCCTATGTACGATCAATAACTTTGATGTAATAAGTAAAATTAATGAAATTTAATACGGGCTTCAACTGTTCGTGGGGAAAATAACTGAATGCACAGGTGTGTGGCTTTTGCATGGTTGCTCTCCTTGTGTGTCACTTCCATACAATGATTGAATCAGGAGGTCTGGGGACTGTCGGGTTCCTCCTCTGTCAGGTTGTTCAGTCCAAACTCTTGCATATTTGTTTCTCTAAACTCAATTATTCTACAGGCTAGTACCACATTCAATTACACATCTCACAATATTCAAAATGGCTCATTTGTTCTGGGAATTACATGCCTCTAATTTATCACAAAAATGCTGACAACCAGCAGAATGGTAATGAAACACAGCCTGCCACCAGCAGGCTTTGCATTCTCTAGAATGCAAAGCGAGATGGCACGTTTAAACATGGCTACAGTGCCAGTCAGGTGCCAACTGTACGGGACCGAGTGCCGTTAGGTGTAATGCTGGTTTGTATTTATGCCACTCACTCCTCCAGAGAGCTTTGCTGTAAACCTACAGCCTTCGGGGATGTTTCCTCTTTCAGCCTGAAGGACTCGCTTGGTCATTCTGCCAAAGGCACCTAACCACTTCCAAATAACCATTTTGCCACTGACAGTAGATGTCCTTAAGACACGGCAGTGATGCCCCGTGACGGACATCATGATGTGCCACCCAGATCCTCCTCCAGGGATGAAGGATTTGTCCCCCTCCCCAGAAGATGGACCTCCCTCAGCTGTCACCCCCTCTGCAAACTGCCCTCAAATGAAGAGAGCTCCTTCACCCCAGATCACACCGCTGGGGGCATAGGAAGCCACACCTCATGACGGGCCACCGTGGGAGGAAAAAGGTCGGGGCACCATGGGACCACCTGAAAATGCTCCAGCTTCCGAGCTCCCCGGGCCATCAGCTGAGGTTGTTGTTGATGCCCGAATGCCAAGGTTGCCTCAGCCATGCCCACTCTCCTCCCTTCCACGGGCGTTGCTCTGGGAACTGCTCCTTGTAAATTTCCTGTAGGCAAGCCTACATCTCAGAGCATGCTTGGCCCCATTTTCCCTTTTCCATCAAATTTAAACTGCTCACCCTGGCTTCCAAGGCCCCTAGAATTCAGCCCCACCTTCTCCGAACGTAGACGTTTAAGGAGGCCAGACTTCTCACTCTTCCCCACTCATGCCACCATCATTTCTGCTTCTGTGTCCTTTCTTTCTCCTCCAACATGGGGAATTTTTACCCTAAATATTAACTGCTAAGCGTAAGAATGATAAACTCAATAAAGAAAGACTCAGAGTCCCTCGGACATTGGTCTAGATGAGAATGGAACTAACATACAAAGACGGTAGCCAGTTTTGGTGGAAGAAGAAAAACCATCACTCTCTCTGCTTCTCTGAGAATGATTCAGGAACATCACAGCGATGGTCTCTGATCCAGCCCTGAGCTCCCAAAAAAGGATGAGAGAAAAGGAAAGATGAGGAAGCAGAGAAGGTGGGAAAAGCAACCCTTTACATGGGCGGCAACTGTACCAGCCCAGTCAGTCTCCCATCAAGGACCGCTCTCAGGAAAAACCAGGTGTCCACACTCTTGAGAAGATTTCCACTCTGATGCCTGATAATGGATTTGCTTTCTGCAGAGCGAGAAGGGGGTACGGTTGAGAAGAGGGATTGTTAGATACTGTTATACCCTACTCAGCTCTCAGCCCCACACGGCGCTCAGAGAGTC